TGGAAGCTTAGCTGACAGTGCCACTTCCGGAGGAAGAGGTGGTAGAGTCCTTAAGCTCCTGTTTCTCCCTCCCCAATTAAGGCCTACCGGAGACCATCCTCTGCTAGACCAATATAAAGCTTTCACCCTCAATGACTGCTATGCATAGTCTACCTTCGCCCCCTCCTCCCCCACCGGATACCCTCAAAAAGCAATGGCATTTTAGTAAGGTGAGTTTAAATAAAAACTAATGTTCCTTACCCTCCTACTTCATTTTTCCCCTTCTACTTCTTTTTCATTATTTTGAGCTAGCAAAGGAGGTTTGCCAGCTTTTTCCTGCAGCGGAATTTGTTCACCTGGAATTCGCTTACCTGTCTAATTCCCTTGTGCTTCGAAAAAATGAGAAAACACAAAGATACAGAGAATACAAACCATTTAAAATGCTAAAGTGCAGCACATTTTTGCACCAGAAATCAAAATAACCTCAAAAGGGTGATTATTTAGCTGACCAGACTTGGTTGGTAAATTACTTATTTGTGTTCTACGCCATATAGGCTGTGATTAAAGATTATACGCTTGATGTCTATAGCCATTTAAAAACACACATGCGAACATTTTTGTTATTTCAGTGGAGCAATGAATCTAAAGACCTCATTTTATGAGCGAGTGCAGTACCAGGAGTTACCACGAAAGATACGAAAGGAGTGTGTCGATGTGGGAGAAAACGTATTTCTTGACTGCAGGACTAATGAAAATCAAGTCTTCTACATGGTAAAAATGTGACGGTGAATACCTTAGTCGAAAAGTGGGATCAAAGTCAACACAATACGTCTTGCTTGCCTTAATACAAATAAGAGGAGGAAGAATTCGGAAGCAGGGAGAAGGAAGAAGAGGTCCATTGTAACCTGAGGCTATACTCTGCGTAGTTGTGAAAGTATGCAGGATGGAGTTGAGATTGCTGAAACCTGAGCCGCCTCTATTTATGACCATTGTGGAGAAGTGGAAGTGGAAGTGGAAGAGGTGGATGTTAAACACCTCCGACAGCGATGTGTATGGATTCAGACATTGACAGAAGGTTCACCTTTCTGTTGCATTTAAGTTGAATAGGCAGTCATGCAAACATCACTTACTGGTGATAGCGGTCCAGGATCATGAGACACTGCTGAAAGATTGTCTGGGTATTGACATTTAAGTATTTGTTTCTTTTTCAACTATGAGTATAATGAGCAGACTGTAGTGGTTAAGTCGTAAATAACTTGTCTTTATTCCTTGTGCAGCCCTAAAACACGTCAAAACTCCGTAGCCGGTACAGCTAAAGTGAAAAATTAAACAAAAGTCCTTCCTAACATTCGCAAATTCGGTAGTGGATTTCTAAAGGGGGTGTATATTTGCCCCTATGCATACACAAGGCTTGGGACTCAACTGTTCCTTGAAATCAGGGGCTATGAAAATCCGCTTTTTTGTCACAGCTCTCATCCGACTGGAGTCACGGTAAAGTAAACGATGCCAAAAATGATTTGCTAATTTTTAGGTCAGATTTTTGTGCTCCTGCAACACATTTTTGACAATTTTGACTACAACGCATGAGAAAGGACATTGTGAAGCATATTTGGAAGGGTAGCTAGGATGGCGGGTTTAAAATGTTTTTAAAATTATGCATACGTGCCTACTTAGTTTTTCTTTGCATTTTTAGTACTCTTGCAACTCCTTCGAACTCCACATTCACCCTTTCGTACCCTACTAATTGACACTAATCTTGTCAGTGGAGTTGGCTCTGCGGTCCACCCATCAGCAGTGGTGCCCGCTATTTTTCCACTTGAATTGCTCACTCCGAAAAAATGTGCTTCAGCATATTTGTTTGATGTTCAAAACAACCTGTCCAACCCATATTTAGTATCTGATTGTAAAGGTTAAAGACACCAATGCTAATTATTTTTAAAAATCAAGACATTTTGTGATCCCAAATATTAAAAGCCTGCTTTTTTAGGCATCTATTTGGATTTTTGTGGGCTTTATTGTGAAAACTAGAAGCCTATCAATTAATCACGAAACAGGAAGTTCAATGCAAACATCCTTAATTTCCAACGGTGCTTCGGTGTGGGACTGTCGACTTCCTGATGGAGAATAGACAAATTAAGGTGTTGTTCATTGTTCAAGCATTATCAAGATAATTGAGGGAATCAGTTGCAAATTTTTCCGCTTTTCAGTTCTCTAGATGATATGATTGTGACAGTTTAGAATCCATCCTCACAGCTTTATTTTTGAGCAAGTTGTGCCAAGCCCTTTGGTTCATTAGGCAATAATTTCGATTTTGGTTGTGGAATTACGCAGCTGAAGTAGTGCAGTGACAATGTTAAGGATCTCGTCTCTCCTAAATGGAGCCTTTCAATCAACAACTCACTTTTGTATTTATCATCGTTCTTACTTGTTAGTCTCCGTCGATTTGGTTAAACTTCGTCTTATCATTTTGTTCGCACTTCTGGACTAGTAACGCGAAGCCCACCTGATTCCACTGCTTTTTGTCATTGCAAAACACCACCGATCTGAGGTGTGCCATTACTGATTGTGACAGCATACGCACCAGTTTTCAGCAATAATTTTCTCTTATACCTCAATTTCAAGCTATGTTTAAGTGCGACCACTCCATGAAGTCGGAAAATTTAAAACATCAAGTTGTCAAAAATTTTCAGCATACCTTATAATTTTTATCAAAACTGGAAATTGCCTCTACTTAATGCAACAACCTAGCGTCTTCCCCAGTTAGACTAGCAAGCATGTACTTCATTCCAAATATTTTTAATAACCAAAGTCTAACAAAGAGGTTTTAACTATTTCACTCACAAATTATTAAATGAATTCTCATTAGCCTGCTTTGATTGTGCCGCATTTCGGCGTTTGATAGAAGTACTCCTTGCTGCTTAAAATTACTTAATTTACCAATTCGCCAAATTTCCAGTCACATTTTCTGCTAAACTTGTCCTGAAAACCGAAAAATGCTAGTAGACATCAGGTATACGTCCATTTTTTCCTTTTAAAGCAATTTTTGATGAGTCTTTAGTCAGCAGTTGCATAACCACATGTCACTTATGTAATTATTATTATTATTAAACGTCACGCAGCAGTACGTGTTTATATAATCCGCCACAACTTCGACGATACAATTAAGCCTGACCTCGCTCAGTTGTTTCACAAGTGATAAGACTAACCGAAAACGTCACACTATCATAATCACTCAAGCGACTGTCAGAATAATCACGAATGTAAGCCTTTAAGATATGTGGCATAATACACTGGTCATTTTAGTAAAGCAAAGCCCGCCTTTCATTTTTGTTAAGACTTCGAACTGTCCTGAGTTAAAGTACCTATCCCTAAGAAAAATGTCACCTGTAATGACAAAAGCCGTTGCCTTTACACTATTATTTGATTCACATGAAATGTCTCTAGCTTACAAGCCATCAGATGTGATGGTGCAGGCATCACCACTGCTGCCATAAGCCAGTGTTTGCCTGTCTTATAAACATTGCTCATAATCAATTCAGCAGCATTGGTAGGTGTTTTGGTTCCTGTTTTTAGCCTAAGTACATCAAATCGGCAAGCTACGAGCACCTCAACGAGACAAATCCCTCGCCAAAGGACTAAAGATCCGGTCCTGCTTTCCAGCCAAAAGAAGAAGCTGAAACAATTGGATCAGGCAATCGAAGCATGCATCGTCAATGCCAAAGAGTTGCTTTAATGCTTTCATTTATTCGACTCTTTAATGAGGAAGATCAAACGAGTCCACGCAGTTATCGGAAGCACTTAAAAATGTAGGAAGTGCCTATCTGTGACCTATGATCGCTCACACCTTTAGAAGGCATTTTGTCTCTGGGAACGAACAACTAAATTTTACCCTAGTCGCTTTTATTTTCCAACAGTTTATTCTATCTGGCAAAAGAACTCGGAGTTGTCATAAAGATGGATGGATGAGGGTGCTACAGTGCCCTCCTCCCTTCCTCTTTCCCATTCCGATTGATTGGTTCTGATTACTTTTGAGGAGGAAATTTTCTCAAGAATCTCTATCTCAGGCATAACTGACTGACCTTCAGTTAGTAAACAAATCAGCAACACCTCGTTGGTATAACATGCCTGCTCTAGAAGTGTAGAATGCTGAGTGAATAATTTAAAACTGACCAGTTAAACTTTTTTGCTTGCAAAAGTCCCTATCTCATCGCAAACCACCCTTATTTCATCGCACTGCATTACAACAACCGTTGACCAACATTGAACGCTTTTATCGCAATTCCCAGAATGCCGCAGTGCATTGTGTCCTTTTAAGGCACTATTAAAAATGTGAACAAAAGACAGAAGTGTGTGACGCTAATTTAGAATCGCTAGAAGATCTGTTGCTGCAAATTCCCATGTGAAAGCTTATCAGTGTGGTCAGATAGCTCTTTCATTGGAAACTTCATTGGGTCTCACTAGATCCTTCCAAATACAGAAATGGTTAGTCTTCTTATCAATAAAGTACACAACAAGAAGAAAAAATCCGTTTATGTTTTGATCGTCGTTACGTTCTAGTGCTTGAGCTTGGATGCTATTGGGATTAGAGTCCGAGTTTACAATGCAGACGTCTTTATCTGTAGGCGTGTGTGAGTCGGTGAGTGGTACAACGTGTTTTCGGTGGCCGCCGACAGCCTAATGGAGAAGAGAGTAGGGTGCCAGAGACACTGTGAATGTCTATAAGGCTAGGCTATCTAACTATTGTCAGGTTACGAGGCTGACAAATTCGTGATTCTAGGCAACGTTTGGTCTTCTTCGAGTCAGGGTTTTGAGAAGCACAAACAAGTGGATTAGAGCAAATGCTTGGGCACTGTTCTACCCATGGAAGACAAGGCACTGTTGATTCAAATTACAGCCAAATAAAGAGAGCATTTTTTTGGGCAACGAAAGCACAGGTAAACACAGAGGTGTACAAATTACGGTTGGTGGTTAATTTCCCATTTCCATTCAGTCATGGTTAGAAGTCAACCACTAGCTATTCTTTAAGATAAATGAGCCATCAACTCCAGAAATGGTAAATTTGATGTTTTATAACTTAAATTGCTACTTTTTTAAAAAAGGACACATAGTTTAGTATCTATTTACTGCTTTCCGACTTTTGGCAATTGAGAAAGCAGGATGAAATGTAGTAACTGATCAAATCTTGGCACATTGCTCAAATGCTTCGCATTGGCAGATAGCAGTGGTCACTAAATTGTTAAATAGCAAAAATTGCTTGCAGTCCTCTTTGAATGAGAGGCACTATTCTTTTTTGTCTAATTTTACTGAAGGGAGCTTGAGCGGAGGTGAAGGAATGAGGTTCCATCTCCAGCGGTGGGATATTGACGCACCGAAGTGAAGAGAGCCGAGCGATCTAGATGTCCAGCTACGGCCTCGAGCATGAAAGGTAGGATAATAAAAGTCGTTCCTTCCTTGCACTCTGGCTTGCAGTTGATAATCTGGCAGGATAAAACATTTATGCTACATCTGACTTGATGTGCTGAGCGTTCACCTTCATGGGGGAAACAAATTTGTGTGTCGGACTGCCAGAAAAATCCGCACCGGTCGTGCAAGACGTAATAAGCCTGGCCCAAGGTCGATTGAGCTATCGAGAAAGATAAAACGGCCCAGGGAGTCGACAAGACAAACATTTATTTGGTACTTCACTTCTCATTTAAATTCACGGGACATTCGACAAAGACCCCAGTGGTTTTTCCTCGCAAACAACGGGAGAGTTGATAACTCGAGGAGTCGACTAATTCACTCCCCACTTCAGGAATCCTTCCTTCCAAAAGTGCAAAATCTGCAGGGCTTACTCTGATGCCTTACATGCCTACTTTGGCCTTTTAAGTGGAAGATGGGACAAGTTTGTCGAGCAAGTGACTTCAAAAGGGAAGAGTTGTATAAAAACCGAAGTAGGGAAAAGAAACCCCAGCAGAAATGCAGAGTTACAATGTTTGCCCTGTATAGGACGAGAAGAAGACCAGAATCCACTGATCTGATCGCCCATGATTATTATTATATTAGACAATTTGGATTGCCTTATACAATAATTCACTTCCGTATGACTTCGGAACACCCAGAATTTGGAAGTAATGGTCTCTAGAAGGCGAGAATTTAACCCAACCGCACCGTTTGCATGCGATGATGTTAACAGGTGGATCATATCAGTGTTGAGGAGGGATTCTCACCCCCAAGTCCAATGCATCGCATCATTCTTTAGCTAAGACCCAAACAACAACTGCTATTTACCCCTCAAAAGTCATTGTCATCCAAGGTAGCACACTTCAAGGTTGGGATGACCGAATTCAAATACCCCTAAGGAAATGCCAATCTGAAAGCAAAGTGAGACAAACTATGCGAATTCATTCTGTCTTCACTACCGTTGAACTGACTTGGATACCACCTTGCACATAGAAGTTCATGTTATGCGGCCACCACCGATGGCATAAAACCTAACGACTGACCAAATGTAGTCTTAGCTGCCTGCTACTAACTCTCGATTTCTTTCAGTGGTCAAAATTTTTAGGAGAGGTAAACTTTGGAATCCCTTTTTTATCAAATTAATGTTCGATGGCAAGTTTTTTTCCGCCTTCAGT